CTAAGTGCAGCCTTGCACTGGAGGGAATGCTATTACTCTCAAGGAAAGCATTATTACTGTGGCAAATGGAGATTAAGTGAGAAAACGTCTGAGAAACACATGAAAGTTTTCATCTCTTGCATGGGGTTTATGATTTGCAAGATACAGCACTGACACAGATAAAAACATTTTGAAAATTCTGCATGTTGAAAATGTAAACCGTGTACGTGTTATAAACATGTTCTCTTTTATCATATCAGTGCTGTGTCTTCTGCTTGTTTAGTGTGAAGATGTCCTGCTGGACCCCATCCCACTGCTGAATGGAAATTTCCTTTCCACAGGCAGAAATCCCAAGCTTTGCCACCAACCAAGAGAAAATTAGAGCTGATTCCATAGTCTTCCTTGGGCTTTGTTATTTTGTAAATCCCTCAATACTGAGCTGAGCTTTAATTAAAAAAAAAAAAACCAACAAAACACAACAAACCTCTGAAATTGACTTTGAGTAATTACTGGAGCTGAATTTGGGTGATATGTACAAAAGTTTTTATTTATCCAGATGTTCCGTTTCATTACACTGAAGCAGAGCAAATCCCAAAGCTTCAGCAGAATGTAACCCATGCAACCGTCAGTGAAAAAAAATGTGTGTTGGGGCCTTTCTCCTACAGGACTTTGTTCCACTCCGTGCGTCCGGCCCTCTCTCTTCTCCACAGCCAGTTCCTGCTGGGGAAGCCAAGCCGCCGGCAGCCGAGGTGAGGCCGCCCCGTCCCCACAGCAGTTCTGGCTGTTGGTTTGGAAACGGTTCAGGAACGTGCGCTTCCAGACACCGATTGGGTTCAGTGGAGATTCAGCTTTTAGCCAATCCCGGGCGTTTCTCTGGGCTGGGGACGGACAGGAGCGGTGTGAGGTCGTGACTCGAGGCGAGGTGGGATGGGATGGGAAGGCAGCGGGTTGGGCTGGGCGTCACCCCGGCCCATGTCAAACTCTGCAGCTATGTGGGAGCGGCTGGTTTTAGCTGAGAAGAACTTCCCTGAGATGAAGGATATTCTCTCAGGTGTAAGCTCAGTGAAGAAATTACAGCAGAATGTATGTCCTAGACATTTCTGATTTTTATAAACCTGATTTATAAGGACTTACAGATATGAAAATTACAGATTCTCCACCTGTAGGCTCAGATTAGTCTGTGAGTAGAAACTGCAAGTAAGGGAAACTTTGACGAGCTCTGTGCGAGGTGAGACAAAATAAAATCTGTGTGTTTAGAAGTAAACTTTGAAGTCTTTATACACCAGAAAGTTTCAAAATCAATATTCATGCTAATAAAGTAAAATGCATACCTTTTAAAAGGCAAAGCTTGGGATTTCTGCCTGTGGAAAGGAAATTTCCATTCAGCAGTGGGATGGATTCCAGCAGGAGATCTTCACACTGAACAAGCAGAAGACACAGCACTGATATGATAAAAGAGAACATGTTTATAACACGTACAAAAATACGGGTATCAGTATATACAGAAAGAAATAGTAAGGATTTGAATTATTGCTTTATAGACCAAGGAAGTTATCAAACTATTTGCTCTTATCAACAAATAGGATTTCCATAACTGAAAACTCCAATTCCCACTTCCTGAACATTCTGTAAACAAAAAGAGTAGAAGAAGAAATGAAACGAGCTTGTCCATCTTCATTACTGTCGGTGTGTTAAAACAGGGTGGGACTGCATGCTTCAAACTATTAAAAAAAAAAAAAAAAAAAAAAAAAAAAAGTAAATTCTGATGGTTTTGGTTTTGGGAGGGACAGAACAGAACAAAAACTTGTGATGAGTTTCTTGGTAGACCAGAAGAGGAGGAAATAAATTAAAGAAACAACTTGTTTGACTGGTTTTTATACTTACTTTTAGCCTTTTTTTTTTTAACTACCCTAGATAAAAATCCAATTACTCAAGAGATTTTGTACTTTGTTTTGTAAATTTGGTGAATGACTCATAAGCTTGCAGTAGTACCATTATGCAAGTTACACTAATAAAATATGTATGCTTGGCAAAAATTTCATCTGATCCTGCCAGAATTCTGAGCACCTTTTTATTCAGAGGCATTTGACGTCAACTGGTGCCCTTTGGAGATGGAGGATGGTAGGGAAAAATGAGTCTGTGATTCTGGATTCCATTTTTAGACCCAATACCTTGAATTACATGTAAACATATCCATGAAACATATCTCTAAATGACTATCAAAGCATTAAAAAATGTTTTTAAATAGTTGTTTACCTTGCACATTATCACAGTAAAGAACCTGTGTTCTTGATGTGGCTGCGGGCGGCTGCTCCAACCGACATACATCGACCAAACCGTCTGTCTGGACCATCCATCATCCCCTGCATCAGTTTCTGATCAGCCCCGTGCAGAACTCCACTGCCCACGCCACATAAAATCTCAGCAGGCTTCAGTGGGTTTGTTCACTTGCAGATGCTGTGAAGGAATAAGCAGAAAAAGCAAACAGAAAACACAACGTGACTTTGAAATTACACACCTGTACGCCAGTGAAAGACGCAAGTAAAACTTATTTTTTCCAAATTGCAGATAATAAGTAGACTGACTTGGATAATTACTAGCAACTCCTCCACTCAGATACCCGGATCTTCACCCAAATGAGCAAACTGCCGGAGTGGCGTTTAGGCCTGCGGTAGTTCAGGAGCTGACTCGAGCACTCATGCTGTCTACGTGCTTTACATATAAAAGTAGTCTAAGCTAGTTAAGAATAAATTTATGTAGAAATTGCCAATTAACAACGGTTTCTTAAAGCAGTGGCAAATGAGAGGAGCCATCTAAATAGAAACAACAGTGCCCTTTGCCCCAAAGCAAGATTTCCTTGCAGGGCTGGAGCCCAGCTGTTTTTCCCAGCACTGCAGACGCTTGCAGCAGCTGTGGGAAGCGGAGTAAGCATGCAGGTCTCCTCCTCCTGCACCTACCCGGTGCTCAAATCCCATCTACCTGCCTAATTTCTTCCTAGGAGAGCTCAGAATTGATGATGTGCTTCTGGACCAGCAGAACCCTCGACGCCCAGCGTGATGCAGACCGACATCACCACGGATTTGATGTATTATTGCCTCGTTACTGTGCAGCTCCACAGCTTCAATTACTGTCGGCTCCAAGTGCTCGTCACCAGGCACGTAGCAGTGAGAGGGGTGAAGCGTGCTGAAGGCTTCCTGCAGCTCTGTGTCAGCAGGGAGGGCCTGCTGCCCGCAGCCCAGGAGTGCAGGACAATCTGTGAGGCCTGTCAGAGCGACCCCGGATAACAGAGCTGTCCAAGACACGCGTTACGCGTGGCTTTCGCCTCCTCCGGAGCACCTCGCCTGGGTGCACAGCCCTGCGAGATGGTCCTGTGGGACTGCTCTACGCTCCCATGGCCAGATGAACGCAGAGCTCAGGTAGAGGCTGGGTGCTTAAAATTTGAGGCAGGTGACCCATCGAGTGGAAAGCAAAACCCATCCATGTCGCAGGCTGAAAGGCTTCGGAGACCAGCCACAGATCTGTGCAGAGCTGATCAGAAAGGAGGAGCAGGGACCGACTGCCTCAGGCAGAGGATGGTGGGAACTCTCCTTCCTCTCCGGAGAGTAAAGCCATTCCCCGAGGGGTTCACCCCCACCCACTCGTCTGAGAGCACAGCCACTCTTTGGGTTTGCAGACTTCCCGCTGAAGTATCTTAGTCCTACTGCCTCTCCCCCGGAGGAAGCAGGGCGCAGCTGCTTAGGCGGCGAGCATTCCCTGAAGACTCAGACATTTTTGCTTCCTCCTGCCCATGCGCAGGATCGGCTGCTGCAGCTGCCTCTTCGGAGGAATACAACCCGTCCGACGGCTGTTCCACCCAGACAGCCTAAACCCGGGGTCCGCCAGCCCACAACACCCCAAACACCCATTTCTGTTACTTAAGCCGTGCACAAAAGAAGACCTGGGCGAGCCAAAGCTGGTGAGCCCTGCCAGTCCCCCTGCACACAACCTCCGTGGTTTGCGTGTGTGCGCACACAGCTACAACCCGAGCATTCTGAGCCCCTTTTCCCTGGAGGTTGACTTCACATCATTCACCACATGGTCCTCGCCGTAACGCGTCAATGGTATTTGCCACACGGCGACAGTCACAGTTTGTCTCTTCACCGAGGTGGCCTCGGAGAACCACTCTTGGTAAAAGTATTTTTCATTCCGTCTACACATCCCTATGAATGGGAGATGTGGTCTAACGAGGCTCAGGATTGTACCATTCCCACTCATGGCTGATTTTCCAGCTGTTGATCCAGGTGTTTTGGTCGTGCTTAATCTTCGTGCAGCTTTCCCTGACCACTGCCTGTTCCTGCGGGGTTTTGAGCGAGCTGCCCGTACATCCCAGGCAGCTCATCTGTGCGAGGACTCACACAATCAGGGACACTGGGGACTTACTCTTAGGAAACATCAGACCCTGAGAGCTTTTCTGTTTAATAGAATGAGCATGGGCACTGACCCGCAGGATACGTGACCCACTTCAAAACCGAGGGCACTCCCGTAGCGGGTGTCCCTCGAATTTTGTGACAGTTCAGGATGGGGTGAGGGACAGGGCTGTAGGCAGGTGCAGGAGTTGGGGTGCTGGAGGTGTTGGGGTGCTGGAAGAGGAGTTGGGGTGCCGCAGGTGTTGGGGTGCCGGAGGAGTTGTGATGCCAAAGGAGTTGGGGTGCTGGAGGAGTTGGGGTGCTGGAGGAATTGGGGTGCTGGAGGAGT